TTGAGAACCACTTGTATAAAGTTTTTTATTTATTAATTTATTTATTTTTATTAAATTATTAATTTATTTTTGAGTCAATGTTTTTTGTAGTGTCCATTTTTGAAATTTATGTGAAGGATCTCTTTACGAACGAACCTATTTTGGATTTTATTTATCAATTAATTTTTTTTGAATAAGAGAATGGCAAGAGATTTTTAAGAGAAGGAATACTAATGAAACAACAATAACCTACTTTACGTCTATTATTGTTGTTCCATCTACTAGAATTACTTAGTTAAACAATAGATCTAAACTACATACGTCATCGCAAACAAAATAAATAAAAGCAATAATAAATAAAGCTTTTAGATTCGAAATGCAATAATTAATCCGCCTCCTTTTTAAGCACCACCTGCTTAGACCATATTCGTCGATCTTTACCTGATTGTGATGTGCTTGTAAAAACGATTATAATCTTGACCCTGATCAAGTGTCATAGATTTATCTTTTGAAAAGAAACAAAATAGCAGGCGATAATAAGTGAAAATATTAAGAACGCTTGACTTGCGTTCCCCGATTCAAAACAAAAACTTTATAGCGAAGTATTTTTTTTAAGGACTCGCCATTCATCAATTGTGAATTTGTTGATAAAATCGTATTGATTAATCGCATTATGTGTAGCCTTATTGTATTTAAAAAAAAAAAAACGGTAATGAATTGCCGTGACTTTTTAAGCTGGTTGGATTAAGAAATTCTTGGTAGGATGTAACTTGTCAAGCATCAATTAAAGTGGCGCTGCCCCGCAGGTTCTGAATGATGTTTATACAGGTTGCAGAGAGGAATTAAGTTGCCTTGAAAGTTCTTTATTCTTGTGTAATGTTATTTCTTATGTCTAAGAGAAGTAAACAGCGGTTTTATATTCTTTTGAATACCTCTACAAATGACCCTTTTAAATCAAGCTAGGAATGATTCGATATATTTTTTTTTAAATGCGAATCAAACCATTCCGAATAAATTGGAATTTTTATACATTTTGATGTTTCTATATCTTCATTCATATGTAGTTTTAAAAAAAAATATATATATTTTTTTTTCGTTTAAGTATTTATTTTGGTTTGAAATTATTTATGAACGGTGGTGCGTTTCGATGTTTACAACAAATAAAATGTTTATTTCTAATGTGTTGTGAAAAAAGTTTGAAATTCCAAAAAAAAAAAAATTTGTATATTAAATTGAATTTATAAATTTTTTTTTATATCTTTCGCTTTAAATTTGTTTTTAATATTTTCGTTTGAGACAAAAATAAATTATCAGCAAAATAAACACAAAGTCAACAAATATTTTAAAAAAATTAGTTATGCATAAAATTTTCAACTACAAAAATTTTTACTATCTGAATTGTCAGTTCGCAATTTTTTTCGGTAATGGAACCCTAATTATTTAACCTTTCGTCGGAACCCTAACTTTATTACCACAAAAGAACGTATTTACCTCAAAAGACTTTATTTTATAATCACTTAAAAAGATGGAACTTTTTTCATAGTTTTATCGTTAATAATCTTTAAACAGTTTTTATGTCCAACAGTTAAATTCGAAGTGACAGAGCTGTATCTAATCTAGTGATAAATTTGTTTTAGGTGTAATGCATTCTTGTAGCTGAAAATGAATAAAATAAACAGAAATATGGTTTTCTTCGAAATAAAAACTAAAACGAACTACTGTTAACGTTGAAGATCGTTATTAAGGAAACATTTCTTTATTAACAAATTCGATAATTTTATTTTCATTTGAAAAGCGCGAAGGAAAATATTAATGAAAGTTTTATAAAAGCATAATATTTTCATAATTTATGCAATATATTTCATAATTTATATAAGAATATTGTTATTAGAAAAATTATATTTATTAAAACATTATTCATTTCTTTTTCAATGGCATTTTACTTTAAATAATCTCATAAGAGCAACCGAAATTTGAAATAGAAAATGGACTATTGATTTGATCTACTTTTTAATTGAAGGTTTCAAAGGTTACTGATTAAAACAATTATAACTCTTTTGGAACGCCTGTAATTCTTCCGCGGAACCCTATGGTTCCTCGGAACACTATTTAGGAACCACTGATCTAAGTTCTTCCGTACATCCTAATAATGTTTTTTCTTTTATTTGATACAGTGGACCAAAGTCCGTACTAAAATTACAGTTGTTCTGAGAACATTTAATTTTATAAACAAAAATATCTACACTTGGAAAATGCTTTAAATTTAAACTTTACAATGTACTGAAAGATAAATTGATTACTAAATTTATATTTTATTTTTACTTATTTTGCATTTTAATTAGATATGAGCTACATTTCTTAATTTACAGAAGGGCTCTAAAAAAATTTTCTAGTGCATCTGCTTAACCCTTTGCTTACGCCACTTAGTATGATGAAGCCCGTCATTCTGGTCTACCTGTTATACCAGCCATAAGCAAAAGGTTAAATTGCAAAATTTGAAGTTAACGATTCAACATGGTTTTAAAGTTAATAAAAGTCTTTGTAACTTTCAATATTTCTTTTTCTTTGCTGTAAAGTTCATTTTAAAATATCACACACTTTTCAGACACCTATTGAAGATAGATTTACCTTATTGAATGTTTGAGTGAATGCTGATCAAAAACAGTTCTGGATTCTTTTAACCTCCCCCTCAATAATTTTCTCTCACTCTTCAATTTCCACACAAAGTTTAATTTACATCTGTCACATAGTTCTTTTTGTTTGTAAAGGCAGGAGAATATTTGTTATTTATATGCCACATACATTTCAAAACTAATTTAATTTTTTCTAACGCTGATTTTCTAATTTGAAAAAATTTTATTATTCAGACAAAAAAAAAAGAGATTTTTAATTTTAAAACAAGCTTGACAAATATTTGACTTTTCAAAACGGCGGTAATAATTTTATAAAAGGATGTTTTTAGCATGTTTTGATAGTTGTAATTATTCCATTATTGCAGATTTAAATTTTAAACATTTGCTGATTTTATAATCATGTGACATCCTATTATTTTTTTCTTCTCAAATCTTATTGTTTTTATTACCTGAACAATATTCGCCACCTGATTCACTTGTTTCAGATTTAGTTTCATATATGTATGAGTTCCTTTTAAAGATAAAAAAAATCTGTTCTGTCATGATTTTTTTTAAATTATTTTATTGGGTTAAATTTTTAACAGATTTAGCGCCATATAGTCGATTCTAGATCATATCAAACTGTACAGAATTAAAAAGGAAGGGAAATGAAGCGATTTATAAAAGTGTAGCAATTCTTCTATAAATTTATTGCTAGTAAATTTAAAATTATTCTGTTTACAAATGTTTTCTTCAGTCACACAGTATAATTTTATTGTGCTCTTGCAGCCTTTGATGCCAATTAATTTTGTTTTCACTATCTTACCTCCCTGTTGCAGCTCAGAATCCTACCTGCTGTATTAAATTATGTTCGTTATTCAAATTATTGAAAGTAATTTAAAAAGTTATTATATAAAACGTCAAAAAGTTACTATATAAAACTTCACCAAACATTTAATATTTACGAACAAATTTTGGCACTTGCCATACAGGGGCCACATGTTGACGAATGCTCTTCCAAGTTGCCACCAACACGAACATTGGTCCGTATAACCAATAAGTACAAATTTTAATGTTGAGATGCATTCCAAAAAAAATATTGTATGTTTAATAATATATTTTAATATTTTTTCTCTTTAATTTATATTATTATTCAGAATAAAATATATTCAATAATTATAATTCTGTATAATATTCTCGATATTATCTTTTTGATGTATTTAGTTGTCTATAATGATCGAGTTGTTATCATATGCAATCATTATAGTTTTCAAAAGTTATTACGATGTTGTCGTTTTCGATGTGTATTATTATCATTCATTTACGCGATATTATCATATTTGTTACATCTATGTGTATTGTTTATAGGCTTCATGATCCCTATAGTCAATTACAGATTTGTGAAAGAATTAGTACATATGTACACATAGGATGCAATAAATAAATGTAGCTAGAATAGTTGTATTCACCTTATAAACGAATTTATAAAGATATAATTTTATTACCAATTTTAATTTTTAACTTGCCCCTATGGTGGAGTTATTCATTGAATTATCATTTAATAACTACGGTTTTATGAACAAAAGCTTTAATCTAGACTAGGAGGCTCCGCCCCCTGCTCGCCAACCCCCGAGAATTGCTACGCAATCCTATGTGGTTCACGCCGTGAACAGTGGCTCGCTGCGCTCGCTCGCCAATGAACACAATGTTCTAGCACAAAGACATAATATATTATCATCAAAGACATAATATATTATCATCAAAGACATAGTATTTTATCATCAAAGACATAGTATTTTATCATAAAAGACATAGTATTGTACTTATGTAGAAGATTTCTACCAATGTTCTTATTGGCTTTTAAAAAAGTATATTAGCTATTTAGATTGTACATGGTGAAAAAATCAAAACATTAGCTAAATAAGAAACATATTAGCAAAATAAATTATCAAATATTGCTTCACTAATATTCTGCATTTTAAAGCGTGAAAATTCAATGCGTAAATAAGCGCGAAATATAAAAAAAAATTCAATGCATTCAATACAAACACTTAAACGTTTTTTAGACGTTAAGGTAGCTCCCAGTAGAAAAATATCAATTCAACAGCGGCCTTTTAAAGCATTCTCACTTCAATTAATTAATTAATTCCTAATTGAGTTTAAATTAAATATTGTCATGTTTTTAGTGCATGAATCTGAATTGAACAACCTGATAATGCTCACTCTGGTTATTGTTATCTGGTTGCTCACTACGTGCTCTTGCGCGCCGAATCCAATCAATTAAAAATTAAAACTGTTGCCAGCGCGAGAAAAGAAATATCATCGGTTTTATTGATACATACATACATACGTACGTATTAGCGTTTTATATAATATAGATAGTTTTAAACTTAACTCTTTTGTCTTTAGGTAAAGCTAGAAAGGGTGCTTGGTCTAACTGTTTCCAATAATTCTGCTTTTGACTGTGATCCAAATGCAAGCATTGTTGCATATCCTGCTGGGTAAGTTTTATGTATAAATGCTAAGCAATATCATTTATCTAATCTAATTTTAAAAAATTGTTTTTTTATTGGAGCAGAATTTTATGTTAAATTTATAAATAATTGGGAGATTTCGCATAGGGTTATAATTTCCCCTTACAGTAATGTTAACACTCTTTAAGTTTCACAGCGCACAAGCGAAATTTTCCCTTCAAATAACCACGTAGGAGTAGAAAATAAAGTTAGCATTAAGGCCAGTTAAAGTTAACTAAGCTTTTTATTGAAAACTCTCTACTTTTGTGTGAAAAACTAAAACTGTTTCTAATTTCATAAATGCTACACTTTTCATTTTTATAAAAATTATAATTTGTATATATTCTTTTAAAATAATTTTAATAGAAAATCTGTCATCAAAGAAAAACATGTTTTATTTTGTCGTTTATGACTCTAATAAATTAGTGTTCGAACTGCCGTATGTAATGCTGCACCAAAAGATACAGATCTTTCATAAATTTTGTAAGCTTTTCTAACTAAATTGATGTTAGTTATGTCTAATTTAATTATGTTATTATGATGTCTAATTTAAAGTAATATTTTATGTTCACTACTACTAATTAAAACTGATTTGATTCTTTTAATAGGAGCAATATAGGTAAAATCGGAAATAATAAATATAAAATTTTAGCATAAATTAAACTGAATATTTTTGCATAATTTCACAATATAAAAATATTCAGATCTGTTATTTTTCTTTTATGGCTTTCAGACGAAACAATAATTTTGCATCATAAAATTTCTTTCTCTGTATAATGTATATAAAGTAATCCTTATCAAATTACTTTTAAATTTATTTAAAATTAAATTTATTTTCATGGATAAGGGATGTACACAGTTATCATTTAATGTATGACGTTTGCAACTGAATCTCTAAAGATGATTAAAAATTAATTTCCCCCCTTATTAAACCATTACTTACTAAGTTATAATTATACTCAAGCAATTTTTCCTTTGCTAAGATTGTCAAACATAACAACTTTGTCTTTATTTGTGTGTGTGCTTTTTAATGCAACTGTAGATATTTTTCCAATTGTGTGCTTTTTTAATGCAACTTTAAATGTATTCTTAAGCAGCAAATGCGAATTATGTTTTTGATTAGTTTGCATCTGCAAATAATCACATGCTGTCAAAATGAGCTAAATGTGATCTTTAATTTTTTTTTCATCGAAACTTTTAACATAAAAAAATATTTTATCATTTTCTATAACATGAATCAAAACATTTACCATAAAAATAAACACCCCACCCATTTGCATCAGGACTTATAGTTTGTCTGCTGATTTATTTTTAACCACTTAAACAGGACTCCAAACCACAAGAAAATAATTATCAGTGGCCCAGCTATCAATATCAACTGTCAGGCGCAAACAGATTTACAAATTAGAGTTTATATTCATCCCATTCTTATAAAATAACTGCTGAAAATGTTTGTTTTTTTTAACAATAAAAGTTTTAATAAATAATCTGTGAAATTTATTTGAAAATAACCAGTCTACTTATATTTGTTTTTTAATATTTTATTTGTTTCTCTATTTTTTGTTAAGCTAAATTTAAATGGATTTTTATTACTAGACTTTTATAAAACTAATTAGAACATTATTAATAAAAATGCAATTGTCTATAGTTTTTGCTCTACAATCATAATCAATCATACCCAATACAATCATATTATGATCAATTTTTTATAATCCTCATAGTTTTTATTTTATACTATGCTGAGTAATCAGATAAAACTTTCATTAAAGACCACAATTTTGTTCATGATATTCATAACCTGTGTCTAGAACAAAACTGTTAGTTAAAAATTATATCACATTTATATTAAATTTATTTTGTGCTCTTGCACCCAATATATTAATAGCATGCATCTTACATAGTGTTATACTTTTTACAAATATTCATTTTGCTTTGAAATAAGTAGCTTTTAAAACTAGATTCCTTATAACTTTTAATTGTACTTTTACTTCATTTGTTCTGCGTATTATTTGCTTTCTTTATTTTTACTTACATTAATTGTATTTGTATTATAACATAATGTATATGTTTTATTTTTTTATTTTCTAGTTGTGTTGTTGTTATTTATAATCTACGAAAAAATAAACAAGGCCATATTCTCAGTAGTTCCAAAAAGACAATCACTTCCTTGTCATTTTCTTCAGATGGCAAATATTTGTCTACAGGAGAGGTATTATTTTGTTGACATTATTTAAGATACTCTTCGATAGCCATTATTTAATATAGCACTTTTATTTAGTATTATTGCTTTTGAATATTTTTCTTTTTAATATTAACTTTGTGTAAAATGGTTTACGTTGATATCATACTGGGTAACTGTTCTACTCTTTTGTTTTGTATAAAAAGGATCAGAGAAAGTTTGTTTTGTTAAAAAAGATGAGAAAAACTATGAAAACTTATAACTTTAAAAAGTCCCAATTTTAAAAAATAATGAACTGTTACTGTTTTTGTAATTGTTTTTTATCCCACTGATTAACTGATTGACCAATACTGTTTGTTTTTTTTAATTTATTAACATTATTATCAATTTTTTGTGTGTCTTTGTTTGAACTTGATTAATGCTATGATTTTAAATTTCAGTGCGGACACCAGCCTCATGTTCGAGTTTGGGATGTTCAGGAAAAAATTCAAGTAGCAGAATTTCAGGGCCATAAATATGGAATTAATTGTGTAGTAAGCAGACTTTGAAATTGAATATTTCTAATTTACTATTATAGATCTATATGTAGTGCGGCTTTCTGGAGAACTCCAGACATCAGTCTCTCGTCGTTGCGGTTACCATGGTAATAAGGAAATGCCACTTTGAATTGGGGTGTGGGGTAAATAGTTTTGTCTTGACCTTATAATAGGTCAGCATGAGTTAAACCAAGTGGCACCTTCATTCCTCCATTGCACCCCCATCAGAAATATGCTCTCGCTTGTTACTATAGCAGCAGTCAGCCCCAGTCTTTTAATCTGGAGGAGTTCTCCTCAAAGTCGCACAATACAATGTGTGTAATCAGTAGAACTTGGCTCATGACACTCTTTTTCCAAAATATAAAATAGCCACACATAGTGAGGATAACGCACTCCATCCAAGAGAAGATTGTAAAGATTCATCTGGTAGAGACCAGCAACTTTCCATAAATAAGAAACTACACAGACACAATGGATTCATATTTTTAATGAGAAATTTGATACAATGAAAAATATTTAATGTAACATTGAATCGGCAAGTTACAAATTTAAAATGACAATGCTAGACGAATTAGACATTCCCATTAACACTTAAAAAAAAAAAGCAATTATGATAGAAAAGAGCAATCATTATAGAAGTAACAAGTCATCTTTATTTGAATAAGGTTCATGAAAACACATTCTGACCAAATTGAAATTAAGTGCTATGATTATCTCTAAATTTAAAATACTAATACAAATTCTAATCTATCACGTTATATAATGCAGTATGCACTCCTCATTCGATAACTCTGATCCCTGGTTACAGACTCCATGTGCACCGAAACAGTTATAATTATAGCTTAGAAATCCCAAATGTTAGAATTAAGTTACTAATGTCCATTGATCGGAGCATCTGATATCCTATATGGACGGAGCGTTAGAAGTGACCACTTCATCTTGGTGAAAAAGTAAAACATGTTAGTCAATTCATATGGATAACAAAGTTTAGCTTTTATTCTATTTTAAAAACAGCACAATTGCCTCGTTTAGAACTAACTGTAATCACTTTAATTGTTAACATGTCTTGGTTGTCAAAGTATTATGTTTCTCTCAAACATTTATGAAAAATATCATACTTCTCTTACCAGTTTTTTTATTTTTAATTGCACACTGCAGCAACTTTATAGATATAATATCAAATTTAAGATGTGTATAATGTATTATAAAACTGGAGAAAAATGTTTAGTTCTGTCACTGCTTTTTTTAAAAGCAGCTAAGTATTGGTTTTAAGTTTTTGTTCGGAAATAACAATCATTATTAGCTAAGTAAATTATATAATTTTAGGTTTATTCATTTATTCCTATTTTTATCTAATGGTAAAAATTATACATAATAATAAAAATGTATTACCAGTATCATTTAAAAAAAAAATTAGTCATAACTTAGTATGTTAACTATATAAAGTTACTTGTAAATAGTTCTTTCCTTTCCATTTTTACTTTTATCTATGCTAGCAAAATCACATGCATCATTCAATTCAACCAAAACTTGTAGCTTATCATGAACAAGGGAAGCTAAATTGATGATGTTTATAATTAATGCTCCCTCTTAACTCTAGATTAATTCTTTAATACAAATTTGTACAATATTGTTATTTGTACAAATAACAATATTTAGTTAAATATTATCAATGTATTAGAAATGATTTTTGAGCTGATACTGGGAAATGGTTTTTATTCTATGTCTGTCTATAAAGTCTTGTTTTTAACTATTTATAATGTTTTAGGCATTTTCTCCCAATTTGAAGTATGTGGTTTCAGTTGGATCCCAGCATGATATGATAGTCAATGTTTGGGACTGGAAAAATAATGTTAAAGTTGCTTCCAACAAAGTATCTTGTAAAGTAGGTTTAGTTTTATTTGTGAAATTTTGTAAAAACTGAAATTATTTATTTGTGTTAGTTTATTTTAATGAGATAACTTGCTGGTTATGAAAGTTTATTTTCTCTGATATCATATTTTTTTCCTTAATTGAATGAATTTTTTTTTATACAATTATCATTTAATTGTAAATTTTACCAGAAAATTTGTGAAAAATGTATCGAATTTTTTAAGGTGTAATGTTCTATCATGATATGTTTAAAGCAGTTTTTAACTGATATGAATGTTTAACTATTTTTTTTATCATGAAAATCTTAGCGATACAGAATTTATTGTTTTTCTCTCACTCACGCAAAATTTAATATAATTGAACATTTATTTTCGTTTGGTTGTATCTAACCTTAAAACTAACTTTCAATTTAAAAATAACTTTTTAAATGATTTTCTATTTTATTCCTTTTTATGTTAAGAGTTTTAATTTTAGGAATGTTTTAAAACAAATCTTCACAGTGTTATTGCTTTAAATAGTGTTGAACTTTAGTTATTTTGTATTTCTGTTTTTAGTTTTTATTGCCTTAATACGAGTTTTTTACTGTCTTTTGCCATGTGAACTAAGCCTCTTATGAATAACATGCTATTTTTAAAACTTTTAACAAGTGGATCAAGTTTTGCCCATTTCTAGCTGATTTCTTTATGGGGATAGGAATGGCTCATTGTTTCCACATGATATTCACTACTTGAAAAATTACCTACTTCCTCATTGCATTAATTATGTTCTTAAAAATATACGGAAAAAATTAAGAATCATTCATTGATTTTCAGCTAGATGAAAAAAATCATGCGAAGTTGGTGATTTTATTTTGTTTTATTTTTTTAATTATTTTTTTTATTTTTTTAATGTTTCAACATATTTGTCTGTTTTTAATGAGTCAAATATTCTCAAAAATTTAGGTTACATTAAAGCTTTACTTTTGAAAAAGGACAGCTTAACTTTTGACTTTAAAATACCCAAATAGTTTATTTTTTTTATTATTTCTAAAAGAACTTTTATAAAGAAATTTTTTAAAAAAATGCCTTTAAACTGTTATTTTTGTACTTTGGAAATATATTTTTTTGTTAATGATTATCAGATCTTACTAGTTTATTGTTTTCTTTATTGCTTTCTTCAATTACTATTTTTATTTTGTTATAGGTTAAAGCTCTTTCATTTGCATCAAATGGAAATTATTTTGTTACTGTTGGAAACCGCCATGTTAAGTTTTGGTATTTAGAATGCTCCCGATCTGCAAAGGTAACTCAATTTAAACAATTGCTGTCATTGTGTGTTTAGATTTAAAAAATTCTTTTCATTTTTTAACTTTTTCATCGAAAATAAAATTTTGAGGTAATATTTTACAGATATTTAATAACCTTAATATTTTGCATTAATGACATTAAATTTTTCAGATTTTAAATATTACTTTTGAGTGTTAAATAGCTTTCACTGATACTAGTTTTCATGTTTTTGAACTGAGAACTTTTAATGAAGCAATGACTTCGGTCGATTTCTTTTATGTCATCTGTTCTTTTCTGAATTTGTTGTGTTAATTATTTCTTTGTATTGCCTTGCCATTAGAAATAAAAAAAAATAATTTCTTAATTAATGGATTTTTTCTTTTAAAATACAATTATTTTTTATTTTTTAAAAGTAAATAAATAAATTTTTTTCCCTTAACACTTATTAACTGTACAGTCGGCAAAAAAAAAAAGATATCACCCTGAATAACTTTTGTTCTAATGATCGGATTTTCACGATCTAAGTGTCAATCTTAATGGTTCCCGGGGGTGACCTCAAATATGCTAATTAATTAGTGCTAACTATTAATTAAGTTACGAAATCAGACACAAAAACGTACTTTCTCTGAATAAACATGTA